TATTTGGAAACGTGTGATACAAAGTGGAAAACTCATTAACATACAATTAGCATATTCATGACAGTAGCTTCAGTAGTCACGCAGGGAAACTCGCGCGTTTTGCGTGATTTTATGAGTGCTGCCGACAGTACAAATAAACAGATGGTTGTTTATTCGTTAATAGGATTGTGAGATTATTTGGAGGATTATAACCCAGGTTAAAACAAAAGAAATAATGTAGTTGCCTGTCCCTCTCTTTCTAAGGTCTATGGTTACATGTAGCAGTACAAATGTCTTAATTCTGTTCACTTATTTTTATGTCTAACAATTTTTTTACTAAATTTTCTATTACACCTTACACATGCTAGTGACACCAGAATTGAGTTATTGTAACCATAAGACCCATGCATTTGCAATTGTGGCAATAATACTGATACAACAAGTCAATGTCATAGTCCCCCTCATGTTTTCAGTGACTTTGTCAAACAGTGAAAAGCATAGTCAGTTTATATTTAAATACTAGGATGGTATTCAGCATATTAACTACAAATGTGCATGAAACAGGTATAAAGACGAAGTTTGAATGAAATTGGTCAAGGCATTTTGTGATTTTATTCAAATGACGGCCATTCGGCTAAATTTCAATGAAAACGCAAAATAAATGATCACAACATTCAATCCTTTTCATGTGCATTGTATATTGTCTTTGTATCAAATTTAACCCAAATCTGTACAATAATCTCTGTAAAATGAGCAGAACACTCTTAAAAAAACAAAATGGCTACCAGTCTTCCAATTTGAAATGAATCATGAAAAACAATGACGTGCATCAGTAACCCACTATATGACTGATGTCAATGCTAAGTTTGAATGAAATCGGTCAAGGCATGGAGAAACGATTGATGACATGTCCCAATGTTGATTTTTGTTGTTTTTCGGTCAAACAACCAAATCAAAAATAAATCAATGTGCATGGTCTCCCATTATGACTTGTCTTTGTACCAGCTTTATTGTTATTACCATATTTAACCATAACTTCGCTTCTTTTTATTGGATTTATTTCATTGCTGTATGTAATTATCAGTGTTTATTATCTCCAGTTATGTTATCAAGATTGAGTAGTTGTAGCCAAATTTCCTATAGATTTATGCTGTTTACGTGATGCAAAGAAACACACTTTGGCCTGTATTCAGCCATTTCTATTAGTTTATAGTTTTGTTTACGTTACACGAAGTATGGGCTAAGATTTAAGCTGATTTAGGCTTATCTAGCATATTTGCATTTTGACTAGACCCAATTGTGTCCACGCACAAGAAGGACCAGTCGTTAGCACGGGCTAAGGGTTGCCATTAGTCGGTGACCTTTGGTAAGCCGCTATTTACGAACGAAAAATGGATGACACACGCGTGGTTCTATTTCTGCTGCTGGCATGCTTAGTTCTAATTTTGAAGCGACGTGCACAGGGAAGACGGACCCAACTTATTTGGATAACAGTATACAACAGGCGTAACAGAATACAGAGTTTTATTAATGCATGTTGTAGACAGCGAACCAAATTTATTTTGTCTACAATTGGAGCTGCTGTACGCTCTACTACAGCGACCTGATCAGTGTGGAAGTGAGCGCCGAGTAATGACTGGTGGAATAGAGTCGTTATACGAACATGGGACAATTTTCACACCCAAAGGTCGCCACAGAGGGCGCTTAGCCCTGGGCTAAGCGTTAACGCATACTTCATTAGCCCGTGCTAAGGGTCTAGACCACGTCTTAAATTCGGATCAGATTTAACCCGTACTTAGCATTCCTTAGCCCGTGCTAAGCGTTCACGCACGTTTTCTTAGCACAGGCTAAGCAATTTGACCTCTTAGCCCGTGCTAAGGAGCTGTGCGTGAACGCAACTTGTATATGTGTGTTCTTCCTGATTGGCTCAATTAAAACAAACAATAAGATTAATTGACGCCATAGATTAAAATTCTAAGGTGTGAATCCACCCTTGTCTTTAAATAGACAAAGAGTTAATTAAGACAGACTTCATCCTTTGTATTCCAAGTGATACATTGTTATCAATCGTCCAAGCGTATGTAGTTTTTCTACGAGCTTTATCTCGTTCCAGTACAACTGAATAAATGCGTGTTCACCATTAGAACATTGCACATTGGTATACCGTCTACTGCTTGATGTAACTACAGTCTATCTGGTGAGATTTAAAGATCCTATACTGTTAAATTGTGGCAGTTGCACCACAAGCTTTGAAGAAAATCTGTCCAGGACTCTCTGAGAAATGATGACGGATGGACGCAAAACATAAAAAACAGTCCAAGAATTTCCAGGAAATTACTGATCAAATCACATAACGGTCTGATCAATATGTAAATTATATTGAGACCAGAGTTTTGTAGTTGTGCAACTGAATCTATATAAACTAAAAATCATGAAAAAATTGTCAACAAATTTAATGTAATTGCATACCAAGTTTGGTTGCAGTCTAAAACATAAGAGAGTGTATACAGGTATGATCCAACAGTGGCTAGTAACACATTTATCATGTCATGGATTACTTACGTGTTTTCATCAGCAACCTTTACCCAACCAGATGGAATCTCTTCACTCACTTCCTTTGTAGCCTTTTTTTTCCGTCGTTTTACCCATCGTTTTTCACAATAATCACTACATGTATGCCATTTGTTGGATCGATTAGGACAGACTCCTTCCAGAGCATCTTTCTTTTTTGGTTCTTCAGTTATCTTTTCTGACGGTTTTTGTGGAAATATTGGCGTACTTATATCAGAATAATCTTCAGCAATTATTTCCTCATGTGGGTCTGAAAATAAAGTCATCAACTTTGTGTTTAAACCTGTTTTTACACCAGCATAAGCGTTACATAATAGTTACACAGGTGGTAATACCCACTTTCCATTTTTTTAGACCTTTATGTTAGGGTGTAATGTACCGTACTGTTTTTCACTAATGCCAACATACCGAGGTAAGTTACTGACACAAAAAAATCATACGAACACAAGAAGTGTGTCTGTATGTTTTTGCAAATGTACATCAAGAAAGTGGGCTCACTTTAGATAACATTGCAATCCTGAGGGCGTCTATTTTCAGAAAAAAAATTTAAAAACGCCTTGATTAAAATTTTGGGTCATCAATGAATATTGCCTTTATGAATTTTGCTTACTATTTCTTCATCCATACAAAATGTATACTGAAAACTTCTTTCAATCATTCCAACTATTGAAGGTCAGTTTTGAGTCAATATATACTATACAACCACTGCTAACATAAATAGGGTTTCCTTCCTCATCATTGTCCACATTGAGAAATATTGCTCTAGAACTGCATTAATTAAAACAAAATCAGCCATTTTGAATACACGTATATATTTATAACATGATGTATAATGAATATATCAAATTTGAACATAATCAGTCAAAGCATGTCAGAGATATGGCTCTAGAAGCCCATTCATTAAAACAAAATGGCTGCCAGTCAGCCATTTTGAATCCAATCTGAAAAATAAAATGACGGGCATCAGGAACCTGTAATGTCTAACGTATGTACAAAGTTTGAACAAAATCATTTATAAATGCCAGAAATGCTTGATATTTGAGGAATTTTCAGTACAAAAATGGCTGTATGTATATTGTCATGTATGATGTATGTGTAAAGTTTGATTGTGATTGGTCCAGGCATTTCTAAGATACAGGTCCGCACGTACACTAGGAGGTCAAAACATAAGTCCCCGTTTCGGACAGTGTCCGAATGGAGACTAAAAAATCTATTCACAATTTCTTGGAACCTTATATGCTAGAGCTTGAACTACTCTTCTATTGATCTATTTTCCCTCTAAATGACGCACAGTCACTAATTGATCTATTTTCCCTCTAAATGACGCACAGTCACTAATTGATCTAATGCCCCTCTAAATGACGCACAGTCACTAATTGATCTAATGCCCCTCTAAATGACTCACAGTCACAAATTGATCTGATGCCCCTCTAAATGACTCACAGTCACTAATTGATCTAATGCCCCTCTAAATGACTCACAGTCACTAATTGATCTATTTTCCCTCTAAATGACTCACAGTCACTAATTGATCTATTTTCCCTCTAAATGACGCACAGTCACTAATTGATCTAATGCCCCTCTAAAAGACTCACAGCCACTAATTGATATAATGCCCCTCTAAATGGCTCACAGTCACTAATTGATCTAATGTCCCTGTAAATGGCTCACAGTCACTAATTAATCTAATGTCCCTCTAAATAACTCAGTCACTAATTGATCTAATGTCCCTCTAAATGACTGTCACAAATTGATCTAATGCCTCTCTAAAAGACTCACAGTAACTAATTGATCTAATGCCCCTCTAAATGACTCAGTCACAAATTGATCTAATGCCCCTCTAAAAGACTCACAGTCACTAATTGATATAATGCCCCTCTAAATGACTCACAGTCACTAATTGATCTAATGTCCCTCTAAATTACTCGCAGTACCAAATTGATCTAATGTTCTTCTAAATGACTCGCAGTCACAAATTGATCTGATGCCCCTCTAAATGACTCACAGTCACTAATTGATCTAATGTCCCTCTAAATGACTCACAGTTACTAATTAATCTAATGTCCCTCTAAATGACTCACAGTCACTAATTAATCTAATGTCCCTCTAAATGACTCACAGCCACTAATTAATCTAATGTCCCTCTAAATGGCTCACAGTCACTAATTAATCTAATGTCCCTCTAAATGACTCAGTCACTAATTAATCTAATGTCCCTCTAAATGACTCACAGTCACTTATTGATCTAATGGCCCTCTAAATGACTCACAGTCACTAATTGATCTCATGTCCCTCTAAATGACTCACAGTCACTAATTAATCTAATGTCCCTCTAAATGACTCGCAGTCACTAATTAATCTAATGTCCCTCTAAATGGCTCACAGTCACTAATTAATCTAATGTCCCTCTAAATGACTCACAGTCACTAATTGATCTAATCTCCCCAGGGGTTTCACAAATGCATCTAACAGCAAGCCATCATCCTGTAATAACAGGCCAAAAACATAAAAAAGGCTTTCAGCAGTGCGAAACGCTGCAGTGAGACCGGCAAGGGCAGAGAGTAGACAGCCAATTTGGCCTTATAGCAGGCCACGAAACCCCTGTGTCCCTGTAAAAGACTTGTGATCACCAATTGATCTAATGACCCTCTAAATGACTCACAGTCACTAATTAATCTAATGTCCCTCTAAATAACTCAGTCACTAATTGATCTAATGTCCCTCTAAAAGACTCACAGCCACTAATTGGTCTAATTCCCCTCTAAATGACTCGCAGCCACTAATTGATCTAAATTAGGCAGAGGGTTCTTGGAACCCACCAATTCACATAGTTCATACATTTGTAACTACCATAGATTCCGGTCAGTCAAAATGACTATTTAGAACTGTAGGCATTAATCTGCGATTCAGCCAATGACGGAGAAATAAATCTAGGTCAGGGGAAGCCCCATGACCTCAAGATTTTCCCTCACGTCATGTGCAGCCATATTGGCTAAATACCTCACTTTGGTTTTTTTTTTCACTGCGCCGAGGACTAAGCCAACACTACGGATAAAGTGGGG